AACAGGAAGACAATGGGCACTAGAGGAAAGGAAGAGAAGACAAAGACATCAGAATGGGAAAGGAGAAAACAAAAAAGAGAGAGCCACTGCACTCCAGCCTGGGTGACAGAGTGAACTCCAACTCAAAAAAAAAAGAAGAGAGCCACAAAGATCAACTGGCCTACTTCACAATTCTGCCTTAGGCAAGATCAGTTTATACAAGGCCTATATAGATCAGATAATATATGTATTACCATGCATATGATACAGAATCAATCTCTCTCGATCTCTCTCTCTCTCTCTCTCTTTTCCTCCTACACACACACACACACACACACACACACACAGAAAGATCCCAGGGCTACAGGTAGAAATGCAGGACATTAACTGGAATTAATTGGAATTGTCTCTACTCAATTCAGCCTTCCTTACAACCTACAGGCTGGCAGGCTAGTCCATGTTAATGTCCCCTGACCTTCGCTAGGAAATAATCTTATCTCCCATCACTCCACAGCAATACCTCTCTTCATACTTACCTTGGCTCGCTGGCTGACCACACTAGTGTCCACCTGTTCATGCCATACTTGTTGAAGATCTGAAACTAGCAAGGCATAGCCCTGCTTGGTGATAAAAGCCTTGGCCAAGAGGGAGTTCTCGGCAAGCTGTAGCCATGCCCACGGCTGCATTAACAGGCCTTGCTCCAGTTCCTCCATCTGCAGAAAAGTACTAATTTAGCAAAGTCATGTGGCCTCTAGAGTCACTTAGGGTGCCCAGAAAGGGCACCACTCAAACAGTTCTATATCAACTAAAATCTTGTGAAAATCCTCCCCGACAAAAGACATGGATTTACATTTTCCCAGTATATAACCAGCTGAGCACTGACCTTATTACCTCTTGGCTAATAAATCTATTTAGTAACTAGAGGAACTTTTTTTTTCCATACTAAGTTCCTAAAGGATAAAAAATCTTTTTTCCATAGTATTTAAATCTCAGTATATTGTCAGTATTTTTGTTTGCTAATAACACAACTTAATGCAGAAACCTAAACCATTCTTGTTCCATCTTTATCACATTCCTAACAAATATGCCAATGCTATCCTTTTCCAGAACTAGAAAAGTAGGAATAGGGCTTGTCTTATAAAACATCATAAGTGTCAGGGCCAGGAAATTCCAAAGATTTGATCATTATCTAGAAACAAAGTTTTGGAAGTTCTCAGGATTTTTTTTAAATTCCAAAAACAGAGGTATTCTCTTAATATAGAATCAACGCATGTGAATCCTCTGGAATTATATGAAAATTCTGTTCATATATACATGAGGTGGGAGGTTCATAACTATCATCAAACCCTCAAAGGAATCAATGACATTAAAAAAAAAAAGAGTTGCTAAGAAGCTCTGTGTAAGCCAGGCTCGGTGGCTCAGCCTGTAATCCTGCGCCTTTGGGAGGCTCAGGTGAGTGGATGGCCTGAGCCCGTGGTTCGAGGCCCACCTGGGCAACTTGGCAAGACCTCATCTCTACAATAAATCAAAAAATCAGCCAGGCGTGGTAGTGCATGCTTGTAATTCCGGCTACTCGGAAGGCTGAGGCGGAAGGATCGCCAGAGCCCAGCAGGTTGAGGCTGCGGTGGCCGGGAGCGGCCACTGCACTCCAGTCTGGGCGACAGAGTGAGACTCCAACTCAAAAAAAAAAAAAAAAAAGCAGCTCTGTGTCCAGGAGCAACAGGAAAAAACCCTAATCCCATTTCACAAGAACCTGAAAGACTAGGGGGTCATGAGCACAAGGCGCAGTATATCACAGAAGCAGAGACACAAATGAACTTTCACTTAACTCATCCTCCATATCCTCACCCCCAGGTACTGCCACAAACATCATGCCCAGTTGCACAGCCTGGAATCCCACTTTTCTACCTCACCAGCCAAAGTAGTAGCCTTAAACTAATAATCAGTAACTATGGCTGCTTGTCAAGAGGTTATTTTTTCTGTGGGTAAAAACTATTTCTTTTAAAGGTGATATGATGTTCTTCATTATTCCAGTCTACAAATACCAAATGAAGAGAAGTGCCAGGGTGAAAATATTTAGAATATAAAGAAAATAATGAAATTCCTTGTTAAGTCTGATTAACAGTCATTTCTTTTTTGGTCTAAACCATCATTCTTTCAACCATAATTTAGTTTTTGAAGCATGGTCTTGTAATTTGCACAGTAACTTGACAGGAGAAAATGTGTGTGTGTACACGAGGGAAGCCAAAACACTGGAATTTCTTTATTTTAAAATTGTGTATTCTTACATGTTTAAACTTGTCACCTTCCAAGTTCTCTGATGCAATACACCTATCGAGATGCTGTTTTCACTGCTCAAAAGTTTTTGAACTTGTCAATTTTGATGCCTTTTAGTGCTTCTGCCGTTTTTTTGTTTCATCTCTTCCACATCAGCAAAACATTTCCCTTTGAGGACACTTTTCATCCGGGAAACAAAAAAGTCACTCGGGGCGAGATGGGGTGAACAGGGAGGGTGTGGTACCGGGATCAGGCCACTTTTGGTGGAAAAACTGCTGAACACTCAGGGCAGTGTGGACAGGAGCACTCCTAAATCACCCATCATGAAATGGGTAAACGGTTGAAAGAATCTCCCCCAAATATCCACCGAAGCTGAATGCAACCTCTCACAACTGCTAGCTGGCACACTGATGTAGATAGGTTCCTAGAACACTTACCTAGCGGGAAACCTATACTACAAAGGGGCCTGCCCTCCAAAAGATAAATCCAGGGTTTTTTGGATCCTCTTCTACACACACAGTGATTTTTATTTGCAGCAGCTTCATAACCTTGTTTGAAAGACGGTATTTAGGTCACGTTTCCCACATGCTATTACTACGGGGCAGAGGTGATCTTGGAATGATTAAGCTAGTCCTCACTGGACAAGAGTTCCACAAGGCCAAAAGTCACAAACACAAAGTCGCCAAACCCTGTTATCTAACTTACAGGTAATCCCCAGGGTACAAGTCATCAAAATTGGGTTTAGTATTCTATCATACCCATTTGGAAAACCCGGACGCTCAAAACCCTCAAGTTGATGGGTTTTGTTTGTTTGGGGTTTTTTTGGGGGGGGGTAATTTAAAATGTGGCCAGGGGCGACTGGCCCTATAAAAAGGTCTAAGACATTCAGCACCGAACGCAGCTGGTTGCTCGCAACACACGCGTCCCGTTCTGCGTCTGAGGTCTCTAAACTTCATCCTAGTCTTTTTTCCTTCAAGGCCGCCTTTACCACGGAGGGGCGCTGAGGGGCAGCAGCGGGGCTGGTCCCCTAAGAAGTTCCGCGCCGCAGCCGTGAGCCCCTCACGGCAGTGCCTCCGCCACCCTGCAGAGGGCAGCCGGGCCCCAGAGACCATAAGGCTGGGACAGGGCGTTACCATTACCACGGCCCCACCCCAGGAGCCGCCTGGCGCCGTTTTCTGGCTAGAAGAGGCTTCGCCGTCGGCCTTCCCATTTCTACAGCGCTGTTGTACTGAGACGCAGCTCAGGACCCTTCAAGGGGTAACAAAGCCGACCCCCCGGGGACTCGTCGCGCCACGCACTCGGCCCAAGAATAGCCTCACGCAAGCACCTCCAGTCCCGCCGTGCCGCCGGTGGCGGGCTGCGCACGCGCGGCACGCATGGCTCCGCCCACGCTCGGAGGCCTGCCACAGAACCCCAGCCGCGCGCGGTCTCTCCTGGGAGAAGGCGCCTCGGCCAGGCCCGACCCGCAAGGTCCGAGCAGACCCCTGCCGCCCTGCTCCGTCTCCGACTCCGACTCGAACCCGATCCTACCTACCGTTAGCGGCCGCTAGTTTCCACCCTCCTCGCCGCAGGCATGCTCGCCCGCGCAAACCGAAAGGCCTAGAGTAGATCCAGACACCCCCACCCACGAGGAGGCGGGGTCTTGGGACGCGGGGGCGGGGCCCAGACCTGGCCTGGGCGGGGCTTCTGGGTCCAGGAACCTGATTAAGGAGCGCCCAGAGCTGGAAGGCCGCGGTGGCCAGAGAAACTAGGAGAGGGGCTGGGAGACCCGCTTGCAGAAAGGTGAAGGGGTAATGGCGCTTCTTGGAGTCACGCTGGCCAAGTAGGTCGAATACTGGACGAAGTGCAAGAGAGGGGAGTCCGGGTCTGTATTTGTCAAACTCAAGTTACTTCTCTTCCCTCCCTTTCCTGACCAGGCTCTTAAGTAAAATGAGGAGATTGAACTTCAGTGGATAAACTCTTGGGTCCTCACTAGCACTAGAGTTGTTTAAGAGAGTCTCCCAGGAGTAAGTCCATAGTCTGACTTCATCCTTTACTTCTCCTGCCTCATTTCTCCCTCCATCATCCTCATGCTCCCTCACCACTAAGAAACTCGAAACTCCTCAACTTACTTTGTACGTTGTACAACTCGTGGTTTTGCTCAAGCTGGATCCCTGAGCCTGAAAATTTCTCCCCACCCGTTTTCCAAAACCAAAAATCGTCACTTGTCAAAGCCACTATCAATGCTGCTGCTTTCATAAAGCCTTTCCCACTATCCCCAGTCAGAATTAATTGTTCCTTGCTTATTGCTCCCATGGCATTATTTTAATCTTTATTATAGGCTGCCTTTTGCTCTGCATTTTAGTTAGTAATTACATAGGACTTTTTTAACCACAAGTGCTTAGAGAGAGCAAAGATCCTATCTCATCAGTATCTGTAGTTCCAGGATCTTGCACATGGGAGTTGCTTGATAACCGTTAAGCAAATGCTGGAGTTCACATGGCATTGGTAGTTCACAGGCAAAAATCTCATTCATGCATTCATTCATGTTCCACTAAACCATGGCCTCTGCTGTGGATCAGCTAGGCCTAATTAAGAGAAGTAAAAGCAACCCACTCTATTGGGAAATGGGACCTCTAGATGGGCCCATGTTAGACATGTGCACAGATACATCCTTTCCGTAAAAGAAAGCAGAGCCTAAGAACTGACTCTCGAGCAAGATGGGAGTTAAGACCAAACTAGCCAGGGCATAGGAATGCTGGTCATTACTGGGACCTAAGCCCTTCTCTGCTAGATGCAGGGCATGGCGCCCCAGAGCCAGGTAGCAAGTCTGCCATCTCTCCTGGCTCAGGGGACCCTTCTTCCTCATTCCCAGCGTCTCCAGGCAGTGGGCAGAGGCAACGGAGAGGCTGGGGGACGCAGGTACATAGGTTTTGGATGGGAAAAGGAAGCCCATACTCTTGAGCAACTTTTTCCCTGGACTTCTGAGGCATTCGAGCCTCTTGGACAGTGAAAGGAGATGGCAGCCCTTGACCTAGGCCTCGCTCAAGCCGGGTGCCTGCAAAAGAGAGGTTGGTCAGGCCATTGCCCAACCCAGGAAGTGATGACTTCCTGGCCACTCCCAGTCTGCTAAGGCCTGGCCTCAACTTACCAGGAATGGTGTTCTCTAGGAGAAAGCCCAACAGTCCAGCCAGGAAAATGGGCTCTGCCAACAGTGAGCGTAGTAACACATCCAAGGGGCTCCAGCCTACAAGGGGTTGGGGCCAGGCAGGAAGGGAACTCTGATGCTATATACAAAGCCAGGGAGTCCTATCCTTCCAGACCTAAACCTAAGTCTTGAACTAAGGACAGATATTTCTGAATTGTCATTTCTGTTCCCCTCATCCTCTGTCCATTTACTCTCCATTTCCCCACCCAGGACACTCCCACAGCATCCCTGCTCAACATCCTATCTCCTGAGCAGCCCCACACTCTCCAGATATGCTTTGACTGTTCCAGACTCCCTTTCTCTGGAAAGCTTGGTATTAAAACTCCAACCTTATCTCCCGTTTCTTAACTTCTGGGCTCTATCCTGGGTTTCTCAATCTCAATACTACTGACATTTTGGAATTTTGGACCAGATAATTCTTTGTTGTGGGAAGCTGCCCTGTGCATTGTAGGGTTTTAGCAGCACCTCTCTATGCACTAAACAGTAGTAGCAATCCCATCTTCCCCCATTTGTAATAGCCAAATATGTCTCCAGGCATTGCCACATGTCCTTAGACAAAATAAAATGTTTACTGCTCTCAGGACATATTCTATGACTTCCTACATCTATGTCTTTGTTTACAATAGTTCCTCCATCAGAAATTACCTTCTCACCATATATGCTTAAAACTTACTATCCTTCAAGACTAGCTCCTTGTTACTGTATTACCTCAAACAGAAGCCGTCTCTCTTGCTGCTAAGCACCACAGCTCTCTATCTGAACCTCTCTTGTTATTTGCCTATGCATTTCATCTCTCTCACTAGAATGTTACACCTGGAGACACCTTTGTATCCCAAGTGGTTAGCTTAATATTTGTTGGACAAATGGATGGGCTACTTACACCAAAGTCCAGAGAAGGATATGGGGCCACAAGTCCAGGGAGCCTGAAGCCTCAGTCCCTTGCTTTCCCACTACTGAGCAACTCCTCTTCCACTCCACCCACCTGTGCTGAGTAGGACCGGGCCTTCCCGAAACCACCTTGGCAGCAGCAGGGCCATAAAGATAGAGAAGCCCACAATGAAGACATTCCGCCCAGAGTCAATGTCAGCCAGGTGGAAACTGGAGAATCCAGTGGACAGAACCACAGCCTGGGTTACCCCCAGCACCCCACCTGTCACATACAGAAAAAATCAAGGGGTCAGGAGAGAGCTGGCACAGCGCAGAGTATTACAGGACAGGCAGACTGTGATAGGGAAAGACAAGCAAAAGGCTCATTTCTGATTCTGCAGGAAGCCCAAAAGCCCAGCCAAGAGACCAAGATGTTGGGCTGGGAAATTCAGGGCAGCTGACACATGCTCATATCCATCCACCCATCCATCTAGGGAGGCTATTTAGAAAGAGAAGGTGCAGCCTAAACAACTGGTCAGGCTACACTAGGCAGTACTGGTTTAATACCAGTTCTGTTGACACATCAACTTACCAAGCACAGGCAGTGGGATGGTGGTAAGGAACTGAGCCAGCCTGGGAGAGAATCCAAGCCCCACACAGAACAGCCCCACTAAGTAGGCCACTTGCCGAGATCCAGCCTACATGAAAAAGAGACATTAGAAGACAGCCACATCCTCAGGTTGTTCCAGGTCTTTACCTGGTTGGCTCTTTCTCATCATTTGGGTGTCAACTCAAATGTCATATTTCCAAGAAGCATCCCTGTACACTTATCTAAATGTGCCTCCTCTACTCCACTTACTACTCTGGTTTTTTTTTTCTTTTCTCTCTCTCTCTCTCTCTCTTTTTTTTTTTTTTTGGTCTGTTGTTGTTGCCCAGGCTGGAGTGCAGTGGTATGATCATAGCTCACTGCAACCTCAAGCTCCTGGGTTTACAGGATCCTCCTGCCTCTGCCTCCTGAGTTCCTGGGACTACAGACATGTACCACCAAACCTGCCTGATTATTTTTTATTTTTTTGTAGAGATGAGGTTTTACTATGTTGCCCAGGCCTGACAGAGTGCTGGGCATAGCTGGCAATCAATTTGTGTGAGTTCCCTTCCCTCTTCTGTGCCTCCAACTCCACCCATACCCACCCCATCCCAGGTCCACATACCTGGATAAGACCCGCTGTGCCCACGTTGGGGAAGCTGGATGCAGTGCCCATGGGGCTTCCCAGCAGCCCAGCCAGCACACTGCCCAGCCCCTCCAGGCTCAGCCCTCGATTGCAGGCATGTGGAGGTGGCGGAGGAAAGTGCAGGAGGCGGCCACACAAGGCATAGCAGCCCAGGGAGCTGGTGGAAGCTGCCAAGGCCATGGAGATGCCTGCAGCCAGAGCCCTAGGAGTCAGCAAGGGCCAGTCCCACTCACCTGGGGAGGGATTAAGAGACACCTTGGGGCCGGACTCAATAAGGAGCATCCCCTTGCCTCCAACAACCCCTGCCTCTGCAAGAATCCTAAATGCCCCTAAATGTCTTTGAAGAGCATGTCTTGGGACAAAACCATTGAACTGTAAGAAGAAAGACCCATCTTTTACCTCACTTCCTTTGCTCCAGACACACTGGCCTTGTTTGAGGTCCTTGTACTTGTTGTGCTTCTAGCCACCACAAGGTATTTGCATATGCTGTTCCCTACACCTAGAATACTTTTCTCTCCTGCCTTTGTCTAGTTAGTTCCTACTACTCACATCTCATATCTCAGTTCAGTGATTACTTCCTCAATAATACCTTTCCTGACCTCCCTTTCTTCTGTAAAGATGAGGTTTCACTATGTTGTCCAGGCTGGTCTCAAACTCCTGGACTCAAACAATCCTCCCACCTCAGCCACCCAAAATGCTGGGATTACAGGCATGAGCCACCATGCCCAGCCCAAATTCCCCATTATAAGCTCTCATCACACAATGTATCTCCTTTTGGTTACACTTACCATGATGGCAATTTTACATTTACTTGGGTAACTCTTTAATTAGTATCTATATTAGCATCTGTATTTCCCAGTAGACTGTAAGCTCTGTGAAGACAGGTACTGTTTCTGTCATGTTCATCATTATTTCCCCTACTAAGTACCTAGCACATAATCAGCACTCAAAAGACCTTTATTAAATTGATAAACAAATTTCACATAAATGTCTTCAGATCGCCAACTCAAATGCCCATGAGAGTGGGTAACATAAATGAGTATATCAAATAAGGACTATCAGTAGTGAGTGGTAGGGCCTGCAAAAACTATAGATATCTGTCTCCTAACATTGACTCAAATAAAACTCTGTGGTGCTGGGTGTAGTGATCATGCCTGTAATCCTAGCACTTTGGGAGGGTGAGGTGGGAGGATTGCTTGAGTCCAGGAGTTCGAGACCAGCCTGGGCAACATAGTAAGACCTCATCTCTACAAAAAAAAAAAAAAAAATCTAGGGCAAAATAAGCCAAGTGTGATGGTACACACCTGTAGTCCCAGCTACTTGGGAGGCTGAAGCAGAAAGATCACTTGAACCCAGGAGTTGGAGGCTGAAGTGAGTTGTGATGGTACCACTGTGTTCCAGTCTAGGCAACAGAGTGAGACCCTGACTCAAAAAACACAAAACAAGACCCAAAACAAAACAAAACAAAACCTGTGGTGAGGGGCTGGCATTACTACTCAGACTGGCAATTTCTCTCTCCTGTGTGTTTTGAGAAAACACAGGATTTAACTCAGAAATGAAATCCATTAAATCATGAGTTCAAAGAAATAAATACCTTTATTTGAGCAAAAGGATGGAGAATTAGGAGAAAACTTACCTGGGTGAGGCAGCCAAATCCATGGTGACTGTGTGGGGGCAGATAGTTCCAAAGGGACAACACTGAGCCCCAGAAGAGCAGAGATTATCCACACACAGACCACCGGGATGAGCACCTAAGGGGCAAGTCTGAGATGAAAGAATTCCTCCCCCAGAACCTTCTGCGCCAGCCCTTGAGATGTAGACGAGCCAGAAGGTAGGGGACAGAGTAAGCATTCCATGCCACCCCTTCTGACTTCTACTGCCCTGCCCGGACCCCCACATACCGAGAAGAGCCGGAAGGCAGGGAGGTGAGTGTGAGCTGATGAGGTTGAAGCCGTCCTCCAGGGCCATAGGGGTAACTGGCAGGAGCCTATATGCTGAGAACAGAGCACCATGAGCAGGATGACCCTAGGAGAGAAGAGGAGCTTCAGGAGCAGGAGGCAGAAGATGTGCTGAGGGTTGGGGATGGAGGTGGGAGCAGGCAGAATACCACAGGAGGGTGTCCCAGAGAAGAAACCCCCATGGAATGAATAGGCAGGCACCTTGGAGGACAGCAGGAGGCAGTGTGAAAGTCGGGGAGGCCAGAGAAGTCAAGGAAAAGTCTTGGATCCCAAATAAAAAGTGCTGTCCATGCTCAGGTCACTGCTGAAGCTGACAGGAAACTGGCCTCTCCCAGTTCCACACACCCCACTGGGCACCATCCCATGCCTCCCAGGACTCACGTACAGCCAGGCCAGGCCCCAGTGAGCAGAGCAGAACTGGGCCACCTCTCTGTGGACAGAGAGCCCTGCCACAACCAGGCTGGGGGCCAGCACCAGGGGCCCACAGTGGGGGAATAAGCGGCCAGGACTCCCCAGCAGCCCAACTGTGCCCTGCAGCAGCCCAGATACCACCACTGCTCCAGACACCTGATAGAGGAAAGGAGAGAATGGAGAGAAAACAATCTGTTCTATCAAATTGACCTCAGCCTGGACTTCCTAATGCTAGGTATTGATTCCTCCTTGGACTCCTTCCCCCAGAGCATCTCCGTCTCTACGTAATGGAAACAGGAACCTCCCCAAGCCTGGCACCACCCTTAACCCTCCTGCTTCCCATTTCCAGACACTCACCTCTTGGAGAGAAGTGTTCCATTGCTCCCGGCCATGACAGTCAGGCCCCCTACACAGGTGCAGCACAAGGGAGGCTGGGAGAAGTTGGGGGTATGAAGGGGAGATAAGTGAAATTGAGACCCATTCTCTACAGTCCTAGCTGGTGTCTGGCACAGCTCCAAGACGCCTAACAGTGCCTTGCAGCCCCACCACTACCCAGTCTCAATCCTGCAACCACCAACTCCTGCATGCTCGTAGGAGCACCCAACCCCACCCTTACCCCTTGCCCTTGCTCTGTGCTCACAGTTTCCAGTTGTCTGAATGGCCAGAGGTAGCTTTTGGCTTGTCAGCGCCAGAGCAGGGATAAGAAACTCTAAGGATGGAGCCTGGACAAGAGGCAGCCTGTAGGAACAGCAGCCCCAGCACGTCTGGAAATACATGGCAGCCAACAGACTCCCCCAAACCTCCCCTAAACCCCCAGGACTCAGCCCCTCTCCAAAAAGTTCCTCTCACCTGCTGCCCATCCAAGTTTGTAGAATGGTAGACACACCACATGAAAAGAAGCTAGCGGCCAGGAGCTGAGAAGGGGAGAGTCCACCTGGGAGGAGACTATGAAGCAGAAGCAGATGGGAGGCACAGAGAAGAGAAGCCAGGACCAAGACATGCTGCAGGTGGAGGAATGTGGAGGGGCAGTCTTCAGAAAGAGGCGGAAATGCCTATTTCCAGAAGCTTTCCCCTGCCACACCTACTTTCCCCAAATGCCCCCCTTTCCGTCAGCACCACTTTCTGTACCTCTGCCTCCTACCTGCAGAGCCAGAAGACAGCTGAGGCCCCAGGGCAGAGGCCCACACAGACGGGGCCAAGAGTGTGAGGGACTCTGGGGCTCAGGTGGTGGCAGGGATGTCAGGGCATCTTGGGAGCCCACTGATCGGAGTTGGACAGGATGGAGGGGTGATCGGTTCATGCTGTCCTGCCTTTTGCTTTGTCTCGGTTGCCCTGGGCCAGAGTTAAGTAGAGAAAGTAAGAGGTCAGAAATAAGCTGCCTAGGGTGGGGAGAGGGTGGGGGTGTCAATGAAGCGGAGCAAAGGGATGAGGAATTTGGGGCAGGACACAGCCCTTTCACCTTTGCCCAGCTCTTGTGCAAATTCCATCAGCCATTAACTGGGGAGTGAGTTCTCGACCCCTCCCCCAAGAATCTTCATCCATATCCCCTGCTCCAGTACTAGGCTCTGGAAAGTCAGATAGGAGGGCTGGGGAAGACACCTATCAAAATAACCTGGGGATATTTTGCAAACTTTATTCTTTCCCACCGTCACTTAAAACCATCACTATTAGATCCACAGCTCTCAATCCTTTCAGGAAGAAGCCCCCTGAACTATGTTAAAATGAAACTTGTGGATAATATACCCTACATCATACGACAACTCTATACAACTCCTCAATGTAAAGGAGAAATAACAGGTATAATAAGTATTTCACTGCGTGAAAGCTTGGACACAACTAAGCGAGAAGACAATGAAGTAGTCCAATCCCACACCACACGTAGAATCTTATGGACACAATAGCTACAATGCCAGCTAATACTGGTAGTTTATTGGTGACTCAGACACCACAAGCAATGATGACACTGGTAACCTGACATTCCAAAATGGTGTACAAACTCTGGATAAACTGCTGAGCAAAACAAAGTAGTTTTAATTTACATGGAGATGCATCCCTGGCAAACTGAGTCTTTTTCAAAAATAGGTGTAAGAACTATTACACATTTACATGTAAAATGATTGTTCTAGGCTCAGATAAATATAAACATGGTTTTCATATACACGAAGCCGGTCATTCGAAAGTTGTCTTGGGCAGTCTTCATAGTAAGGGCGGTCTAAGAGTTTCAGATGTCTAGCATCCTGCTCAGGCTCACTAAATCCTGGCAGCATCCCCTCAAATCCCTGTGACAACCCAAAAAATGGCCCATAAATTTCCAAAATGCCCCCTAGGGGGCAGTACCACCCTTCCATGAATGATCTGCAGCAGTCTCAAATACCCTGTCGAGCTGCCCAGAATGTTTTCCTTCTTCCAATGATGACCCAGCCTTGGCGTTCTTAAAGTTCTTTGAGTTGTTAAATACCATGTGACTACCATGTGTCATACCAGTAGAGAGAATGTGCTCAGAGCTTGTCCTCCAGCTCCTAACAGGGCTCTGTTGGGTACATGGCTTAGCCCTCAAGACATGCATGCTTCAGTATCCACAAGGCTGGCGCTCAGCCAGAACATGTGACAGACAGGGCTGACCCAGGCATGGGACAGTCACCATTTGTGTCCCATGGCACCCCAAGTTGAGCAGAACAAGAGCCCCAGGGTGTTGGGAGCAGGAAGGAGGGAGAGTTCGAAATTGGACTTGATGACTATCAAACAATAGGAAAGTTCTGAAATAGGGCTCAGAGAAAATGGTTTCCAAGATAGGATCAGAAAGTAGGGGGCTTGGAAGTCAGATATAGGAAGGACAGATCTTCAAGAGCTGCCGCAGAAGGAAAAGTCCAGGCCATGCAACTGAAACTGTTTATTGAAACCTCAGTTCTACAAAAGCATGAAAAACCCAGATACAAAGCAGCGGCCAGAGGGGCCTGGGAAGAGAAAACCCAGAAGAGAACCCAGAAGAGAGGAAAGCCTAGGAGCAGGGTACTAAGGAGAAAAGGCTGGAAAACAAAAGGTCAGGTTGAAGGTCCCAGCAGTCCTTGGCTTCATTTGACTACGTCTGAGGGACAGGAGCGGAGAGGGAATCCCCCCTCACCTAGCCTTTCCTCTGCAGCTCCCACCTTGACCCCGTCAGTCCCTGGCTCTCCTGCCTCAGGGACATCACACAGGCCCATATCAACATCTCCTTCTTCCTCTCACCCCCGCTTCCCCCATCTCCCACCTTTACCCTTCCATCCTAGGGAACTTGAAAGCAAAAGTATAGAAAAGCCCAAGGGAAGCAGAGAGACAGGGGCTTCTATGTCCATCAGTGACATTCGCCTTTCACCGAGCAGATACTATCCCTGACACCATCACTGCCATGGCCAAGCTGCCAGGCACTGAAGTTTAGGAGAGTGAATGACCTTTAGTCCTTCTTTCTGTCCCACTATCCCTTAAGATCCTACTGAGGAGGATAGGGGACCCGCCAAAGACCCAGAGAGGTAGAGAGGATCTAAATCAAGCTTTGCTCCTCCAGGTTCTCAGGGACTCCCAAATCCTCTTAATGCATTCCTCAGAGCCCTACCTAGCCTGGGAAAATGAAAGACTTGAGTCGAGCTAGCTCCATGATGCTAAAAAGGGAGCACTGCTGAGGCTGGGGAAGTGGAGGGGGCACTGGGCTCCAGGGCAAAGATGAAGCAAGGCCATAAGTGTGATACCAGGGGCTGGGTGGCCCAGTAGGGACTGTATGGTTGGGGTGGTGGCAGGCGCGGCAGGTTGGGGAGTCTCTCTGAAGCTTCTGGCAAAGGGGGCAGTTATGGAGAAGAGTAGGAGGGGCAGGGGGGTCTGGGGGAGGCAACGGTGGGGGAGTCAGTGAGGCCAGAAGACTGCCCCAGAGTGAGCGCAGCCCTATGTCGCCTTCCGGGCAGCTGGAAACATTAGCAGCAGACGGCAGGCACTGTGGCACAGGAGAAGGTATGCAGGGCTCCAAGACGCACCGGGAGGTCAATCCAAGGTCAGGGGGGCCAGGTGTGGGGCTACAGGACAGCCCCAAGGACTGGTGTATTACAGCCACCGATGCCACAACCAGGGCCACACTGCTCACATATGCCACGGCTAACAGGCAGGACAGCTGCAGAAGAAGAGGTAAGAAAGACGCAGGATTCTGTCTGTCTTTAACACACTCACCCCTTGTCTCTAAAAACTTGTGTTCCTGCTGGAGTTCTCTATAGCCATTTATATCCCATACTGCCCAAAGTCTGAGCCTTTCAGCGATTGTTCTATATCATCCCACCCTACACAGCAGCCCGCTCAAGCTCCCTACTGTTCCAAGCCTTTCCTCACCTTTACCAGTCGCTGGCAAAAGGACCCCAGGGCCAACTGCCAGGTCGGCTGCTCCAGCAGCACACACAGGTCTGTGTAGGTATACCAGCCCCGTCGCCGTCCCTGCTGCTCAGCCACACTGATACAAGGGGAGAAACGACAGTCTGCAACTCTCCCAAAGCCAGCCCAGCGGCACCCTCATACCCCTATAGGATCCACCAGAAAACACTGGGGAGTTTGTTAAACGTACAGATTCCTAGAGTACCTGCTGATCCAAAATCGAGGATGAGAACAAGACCTGTATTTTAAACAACCTGCTCTCATTTTCCCAAAGGTGATTACTAAGAAGACAGATAAGTTTGGGAACCAGCACCTTGGCAATTATCTTTCTTGTCTTCTCCCTTCCCTCAGTTACGCAAGACTCTCATCTCCAGTTCCTATGGCTTAGGCCTCAACCCCCAAATTCTTTGAGACCCTCTTCCTAACTCCTAGAACCTACCAGCTCTCCAGCCAGCTCAGCACCTCAAAGATCTCCCGAGGGTCAGTGTAGAGACACCAATCCTGTAGGTAAGAAGAGAGGACAATAAACCAGACTTGGATATGAGCCACAGCGGCAACTACAACCACCAATATGGCTAATGCTTATTTGGCACTTACTATATGCCAGATCCAACTCTAAGAGCTTTTATGTATTAACTGATTTAATTACCACCTGCCTGGTTTCACATTACAACCTCCATTAATGCAGAAGGAGAAAATGACCCTGAGGATGGTCTGTACAAATAGGGAACTCAGAGTCTAAGGGCAGAGAAAGTTTGGAAACAAATAGAGCCCAACAGGATAAGTTCCGACTCATGAGTGTACCCCGGGAGTCCCTGTAGAAATAGAGGAGGGGAGGAAACGCTCCACTCCTTGCCTCACCACTCCAGAAACCTCCAAAAGCTATGGTTAGTCCTCAAGAAATAGGAAAAAAGACACTAACAAAACACAAGGAAGACAGGCAGAAAGAGAAATGAAAAAACAGAAGGCTGAGAGGGAACAAAGTATGAAAGGAAGGTAAAGATGGGTTAAGAAAACAGAGTAAGAGAGAGAAGTTACTCACCATGGCACTCAGGAAGCCCCTCTCCAAGGCATTGAGAGTGGGCACAGCCACACCCCCAGCAGCTCCCCATTCGTCATTGAAGACCTCCTCCTCTTCCCCCTCATCGTAGAGGTACTTACTGGCCACCATCTGCAGAAGAACCAGAAGTGGTATCCAGAGAACTCACACCAGGCTCCTGGCTCTTTGGGGAGATGAAGGGGAGGGAGTGCCTTACCATGGAGATCAGGAACAAGTCAGAGGATGAGACATGCTGCAGGTAGTCTGGATTTCGGTGGCGGAGGCGCTCAATGTATACCAGAGCCAGCATCATAGCACATGGGGAGATGCACGCCTCCCTGGGTGGTGGAGAGGATTGGTAACTAATCCCAAGGGTTCAGTTCAGTTCAGTTCTTGCAACTCTCATGATGCTCATTCCTGTCTTTATATCTTCTCTTTAGAGATAATTGTTCTCATCTCTCTAGGGCCCAAATACTCTCACCCTACCCTCAATTCCAGGCTCACCGGGACACATGAGCTACGTATTTCTTCTGGAGTCGGCGAATAGGGCTGGGTGCTGCCTTCTGCAGCAGTTCCACAGCAATATCTGCAAGGGATAAAGGGAAGGCAGAATGAGCAAGCAGCCCCTCCCCCACCACTCCCCATTGCTACCAGCAGAAGACCAGATCTATATTTTCTGAGGCCTTGGGGGACAGGACCACAGTAAAAAACCAGAAATCAAATTCTCCCACGCTAAGACAAAAAGCCCTTCCAAGTTCAAATTTCAGCTTGTTCCAGCAGGAAGGTTTATTTCCTTGCTACTTTTGAAATTACCCAGATTTGTCTTTCACTGGTGTTCATCTGAGGAATAAACATGCTTTGTTTACTTGAGGATGATATGATGGATATCCCTAAAAAGTTAAGTTTCTGTTATACAAATTGAGAGTGATGTAGATTTCTGAGGCAGCAATGTTTTCTACTCATCTGGGATGAAAGAATTGGAAACATAAACTGCCTCCTTGAACCAAGTACCAACCAACTAGCTATGAAGTAACTGAAGCCTGTGGGGTAAACCTCGAGTCATTCTGATGATTGCTGATAACCCTATTTTCATGCTTCTCGCTAGATGCCTAACCTGCCACTGGGCTGGAGAGCTCCTCCAGGCTACAGTCGGCTTCCCAGTCCCAGCCATAGTAGAGTCTCCTTCGGATGCGGGCACTCAGCTTCTGGTGTCCTGGGAGGAACTGAAACAGGGCAAGAAGTAGTGGAGGGTGAAGGGCAGGAAAAGGCAGGATGGAGATCCTGGCTCCGGGTGAAAGGCAGCGGGATGGCAGGCCCGCCTCACTGCCAGGGGGGCCTCTGCCCCACCCAGCCCCGCATTATCTGGATTATGTGCCAACGGCAGCCCGGTCCACAGATGGAGGAATATCCCCACTCCCATCCCCACCGACGACACCCGGGGGAGGCTCTGAGGGCCCTGTCTGGCCACCCCGCCTTCGTACCTATACCCCGCGGCTCTGCCTGAGGGCCTAAGCACCCGGGGCCTCGAGTAGACACTGCTCGAGTGGCTGCCGCCCAGTTCCGGGGACGGCAGTCAGGCGAGCTCTTGGCCCCGCTCGGGCCCAGAGGGGAACGCCGGGACCGCGGAAGGGGCGGGCCGCGCGCGGCTCACCGTGAAGTCCTGGAAGCCGGTGACGGAGAAAGCGCCTTCTTCGTCCAGCAGGAGGCCGGTCAGGTCCATCGCGCCGCCAGCCGCCGCTCTGAGAAGCTGGAAGGAAGGGAACGAGTTGGAAGGGGGCTGCCGAGCCGTCC